TCCATGTCGTTGGTCCTGATGATCTGTGTAGTATATTTTTATTTTGGTTAAATTCACGTCTGGCCCTTCTGATTTCGTAAGTTACTCAATTTAATCTTTAAATCACATGTTTTAATTGTTAGGTAACCTATTTAATTTTCTTTTTCCTACAATTAGGTACAACATGTTTATTTATTAATTATTATAGTTTTACTAACATAGTTTTGTGTTTCAATAAATATAAAGGCGTGCATCACAAAGTTATTTTTGTGATTTAAAAAATCAAGGTAATGTTATCATGTCACGTTAGCTAACGTGATAAAGTCCTGACTCATTAGATATTATTTTGTTAATTATTCATTGACACATAGATATCATTCATAAACTTCTCATCACTTTTTAAGGGTAAACTACAACAGATATTAGTAAACTTCAAGCCTTGACTCATTATAACATCAAGTATTTAATGTTGTCAATTTTATACTAACATTTACTTTTAAGTACAATTATCAACACTAGCTACTCTCTTGAAAAAACCATTATCAACGCTGTCCTACAAGGTTCAACTTTGATGACGGCGATGTTATTCTTGTTATATAACTTAATCGGTGCTATTTAACATATATATATATATATTAATTTTGTTAAGATTATAATAAATTCTTAAGTTAGATTGGTGGTTGGGTGTTTAGTATTATTTCATAAAGGTTTTTAGTTTGAATCTCTTTAAAAGTATAGTTTTTCATAAACAAAACGACGTTGTTTTGGGCTTTTTAAGCATCAAAAAGTCACATCAAAAAACGTCGTTTTAGTGAGGCAATCACATCAACAACGTCACGACACACAGCAGACACGTTATCGTCTTGTTAAGTCATTAACGGCGGAGTGACATAATTGCACTTAGAAGTTTTGTTTTTTTAAAAAATTGTCTAGGGCATTTAACGGTGATATTGATTTCACAACTATTGCTGCAGTATTGGTTAACGGTGTTCACCATGAAGGAGATCAAATTGGGGTTTGTGGTTATGGTTTGCAGGTAAGCATTTAAGCTTCTCATTTCGCTGAATTTTTTTTTGGGATTAGTGGATGTTAAATTCTCAAGTATTTATTTCTTATTTCAGGGGTCTATTGTGACCAATATAAGAGCAACGTGGACACCTCACCCTATGAAGGAAATCCGAGTGAAAGTATGGTTTCCTCTCTCATATCTGTTTAAACTCTCTGTCTGGATGGAGGTTATATCGGAGGTTATAGAATTCTCTTGTATTGACATCCTATGTATTGCTCTTTATGGATGTTAATATGATTTGATGATGTCCTTTGTTTTCTCTTAATACGAATGGATATCACCACAAAGTAAGGCTAGGAAACAACTTTCATTAATATGCTGGTGACAGCCGATGGAAATTGTTTCTCACGATCATCAAAGTGTGCTGTCTCTGTTTGAGCTGATGTAGTCAACGTTGCCTCTTCGGATGGATTTGATATGTATCTTTAGTTGGTTGTAGTTCTTGCTTTGTTCGGTCGGTTGCAATGTTTTCCATTGGAATTGTCTCTATTCGCTTTTGTTGTCTATGTAAGCCTGACTTTCGATATTGGTATTTTCTTTGTATTGTTCTTATGTAGCACTCTTTTCCTCCAATTAGATTAAGGAGGTTTTTAATGAGGCTCATAAGTTGTTTTTCGTCTCTTGATTTTAATAAATCATCATTCCTATAAAAAAAATATGCTGGTGACAGGCAATTGTATTCTTCTGATATGGTTATCTGATAAGTTTTAGATTACTTAAAATTTTAACATACGGGAACAAACTTTGAACGAGACCAGAACCTTGTGGATTGTTTCCTCAATGAGGCCTAATTTTTTTTTTTGGATAATTATGGATGACTTTTTGGCTGGATGATTGTAGGGACTAGGGAGCCGCATATGCAGCACAAAGAGATAAAATGAAGTGCTTTGATTAAACCAAGCAGGATGAGTCTGACTTGCTCTGCATTATAAATTGCTTGTCATTTACAAAGTGATATACCATTTTTGAGGAACCGGTACCCTTTGGGATAGTTGTGCATAAAATGGGAAGTTTGTTCAATAACTCGTGAAAGTTGGCTAATATGATTAAACCAATTCCCAATTTGTGTATTTGCATCATATAGTATAAAAAGGAAGCGTGGTTTACCAAGTAAACGATGGTGTCCTATCTCATTACATGTTATCTTATTAATTATTCGAGATATGCGGATACCATTGTCAAATTTCTCGTCGTTTTTTTTCAAATAAGATAATGTTATTTTATTATGGTAGTCAATGTGATGATGTCCTAATTCATTGGATGTTATCTTTGTTTTATTTTCTTTTTTAACCATTTCATGGAATCTAATGCACAAATACTATATAAAAAGAATTGAAGTGTAGTTTACCAAGTAAACTTGACATTGCTCTTAACCCATTCATTTGATGCAGCGATGCAATGTGTAATTAAATAAATAAAGTTGGTCCAGCTCTTTTACGACCGATTGCCAAACAAACAAACTATATAAGCGTAAACTACTTGAATGACCATTTAACTATGGGATTGGTATAAATATAACCATAGAGTAAATTGCATGCTTACTCACTGAATTTTAATTATATTTTTAAATTTATTTTTCATTATAATCCTAAATAATATTAAAATATTAATAAAAACATGACAAGCCATATGAGAAAATAATAAAATAGTCCATGTCAGTGATAAAAAAAAGCTCAATGTCTAAAGTTCAGTGAGCAAATTGAAAAAATTGAAAGTAAGGTGATTGAAATAGGAGAGAGAGTAAAGTTCAGTGAGTAAGAGTGTAATTTACCTCACTACAACAAATTCGGAATATGAAATATCGTCATCGAAACTTTACATTTACGTTACTGTTTATATTTTGTGACGTAAAATTTAACGTCACGATGAACGCCACGCTAGGTGTGTCACTAAATGTCAAATATGCCGATATATATATTTTCGTCACATATTATTAAATACACAGTGACATTAATAAATACATCACCTTAGAAATTATATTAAATGACAATTAATAATTTCATCAAATAATATAAAATGTCACTAATAACGACCCATGATCAAGTTGCAACATTTAAACTATGCTAACCAGGCGACCACGATAAACCTTCTTAATGAGACAATCATCAACAAAGGACAAATCATTCATGGGCTTTAGTCAACAGCTTTCAATCCTATGTAACATGCATTGCAGGAACTCATGAGCTTCTTCGTATTGATATATATCTTTGAAAAATGATGCAATACCTAGGTCCATGAGAATCAAGAATCACCAATATGAACACACATCATTTTTGTATTTTTCTAGTCACTCCCCATACTTGAAATACACCTTTCTAAGCACATTGATAATAAATATGTCAATCTCTTACAATGACTAAAGAAATGAAGTGACTAAAATTTACTAAAAATTCAATTCTAAATGAAAATCATTCAATGCTTATCACATATTATGTAACGACCAATTAATTATAAACTAATCAAACTACTAATAGAAAAATAAAGGATACAATTCAATTTGTAAAATCTTTTGTGAGGTGTTATTCTTGTTATATAACTGAATCGGTGCTATTTAGCATATATATTAATTTTGTTAATATTATGATAAATTCTTAAGTTAGTTTGGTGGTTGAGTGTTTAGTATTACTTCATAGAGGTCTTTAGTTTGAATCTCTTTAAAAGTATAGTTTTTCATAAACAAACGACGTTGTTTTTGGCTTTTTAAGCATCAAAAGAGTTACGTTAAAAAACGTCGTTTTGGTGAGGCAACCACATCAACAACGTCACGACACACAACAGCCACGTTTTTTCAAATTTCTCAAATTTCTCGTCGTTTTTTCAAATAAGATAATGTTATTTTATTATGGTAGTAATGTGATGGTGTCCTAATTCATTGGATGTTATCTTTTTAATTAATCTTGAGAGGAGGGCATCCTTCGCAAAATTTGCATTCATATAAGGATTATATTGGATGTTATCTTTTTAAATTGTAAATTTAAATATGATGGTGTCCTAATTCATTACATGTTTATGATATTCTCTAATTGCTTCAGCTTGAATCAAGATTCAATTGATAACATTGAGGCAAATGCCATGCTCAATATTCAATCCCTAAGTGAGAAATGGGCATCAAGATATTATAAGGAGTTCTCGCCGGATCCCCTACCAAAACTGATTTGTTGTTTCCCGGGAAACAAAATTTCAGCAAATAGGTTTGAGAATCATAGCATGAAATCTTCCTTGAATTTGAAGATAGCCCCAAGTGGGCGTAGTGGGAGCAGATTCTTGGTTTTTGCTATATGTCTTGTGGCCGATCTCACTGACAGCGGTCGCATTAAAGATCTTGAATTTATCTGTGAATATCAACTGGTAGCCGCCAGTGGTAGTGATGGTGACGGTGGTTTTGAAAAGTACAAAAGTGAGTTATTTTGCGAGGCAAAGCATTGGACGAATTGTATTTGCATGGGTGATCATGTGTACATTCTGTGTGGTAAGGATATGGTTAGAGAAGACAAGAATTATGAGGAGGCATCGTTTCAATTCTGCATCAAACATGGCACATTCAATGAAGAAGAATATATGGAGGTGAAGAAATGTGGAGTTGATGTAATTTACGTGGATGCAGAGAGGTGCACCATCACTGATGTCATGAGATGTGATAAATCCAACCACATAAAATGGGCAATTTGTTCAATAATCTGTGATAGTTGCACCTAATTATTTTCTTCACCTGTCTTCTATTTTAGGTATAGAATAGATCGTCCAAGAAGGAAATTGGCTTGGTTTTATTCATAGGAGCAATGGTGGCTGCAAGGAGATTCGGAATATGTTCTTGAACAATATCTGCTTTTTATTCCACGACAAAGATGATACAAAAACATTCAACATATTTCAAGCAGATACGTTATAAACCAGAAGTGTCACCTTAAACTTGGATTAATTACAAATTTAAAGTTTAAAATAGTTACACAATTTAGTGCTCCGCTTTATGCAGAATCGACATAGATGAAAGACTAACCACGATCCTATTGATTCTATAGGGTGCATGATATAGTTTATGGGGTCAAAGTCATCATACATAAAAACAAATAAAAACAACACTTGAATTGCAGCACCTGAGAAGTGAAATGGTAAAATCCAACATCCCACTATCGAAACACTGAATTTCGACACTTGATATGCGATACACATGAACGCCATTAAGATGAAAACGATCCCCGAGAGGAGAGAGAATTATTGATGCTGAAGAGGTTGGGACAATGAAAGATATTGATTGGTGAAAGCATACTGCAAGAAAAGCAAGTAGCACTTGAAGTGCTGTCCTGAAACCATAGGGAAAAGGTTTAAGCAGGGATAGTGTTAGGAAAAGGTTACGATGAAGACGACATAGGTCGGAATATAGAAAAGAAGAAACTGGGAAGGGTCCATGATAGATATCCCCAATTTCTTTGAGGCGTTTCCACCCTGCCAAACACCACCAGGCGCGCTAAGTGTGGCTTGGTAGGTTGCAGTTAGAAGCATTAATCCTAAAATTACCAGTAATGCATTACGGTTCTCGCCTGATATATTATCCATATCACGGAAAATCAGTGACGATGCTTTGGTGACATAACTGGCGGTTTGTTTCTCCAACTTAGGTATAAACTTTGAAACAACTTGAATAAAGCAACCACGCAAACCAGTAATGCTTTCTGTGTAACCATGTTGATGGGAAACACCCAGTGCCGTCAAACCAGCTTGATCAGTGGCATGCTTATCAGCCTTGCAGTTTAATAGTAGTTTAAGCATCTGTTTAATTGATAGTTTGAGATATAAAAAAGCTACATTAATCAATTAATCGTCTCTATAAAGTACAAAACAATCAATGTAGTATTAATTATTAACACTAAGGAGTCAAACCTGGGCCTCATTGCTGCTAGCTGCTATGTGCAGTGCTGTGTTGCCATTTTCATCCTTTCGATTCACCACTTCTCGATGATAGGCTGTCTTCATAAGTGTCCTAAGTAGGACTTGGAGAACATCTAGCCTTCTGTTTTCCACGGCTATATGCAAAGCAGTGCTATTTTGAGTTGTAACATCCAGGATACTATCAGGGCAAGCCTCTAGAAACCTATCCAGAAAGAAGTCCTGGTTTGCAACTTTACTTACATAGTGCAAAGGAGTCTTACTCTTCCTTCCTCTGACACGAACAAGATCTTTTTCGATCTCCAAAAAGCAAGGCGCCACCTCTTTATGGCCTTTTTTAACTGTTAGTCTTAAATAACATGTTAGTCTTAAGCGTATTATTATTGTTCATGCCCATAATAATATTTGACTATGAAACTTTTAATAATAATAATGTTATTATATGGACTTTATTATCTTTCAGTTTTTGTTAAACACAGACATATAACTGATAATAATAGTGGCAATGCCTTTATTCAATAAAATCGGTAAATAAATGTATTATTACAATCATCATATGATTGGTCTTTAGGTATACTCTAACAATAGATTGATCAGATCATCGGAGGAGGGAGCAGCCATTTGGTGGCAACAACGTAGTCAAGCGACAAGAATGGTTCGGCTTCCTTTTCGGTTAGCTGCTTGGTGAATGGCTCCCGCCCACTGGAAGATGCGCCTACCCCAGTGCACTTGTATTCTCCATAGTAAACAGTTCTACAAAAAAAATAATTATCATTATCATAATTAATCAATAAGATTAGTGTGTGACCATCAACTTACTTGGCTCTTTCTGGTTGCATGTCATGAGACCAGCCGGCAGGATTCACAACGTCGGTCATTTCAGTATAAGCATAAACAACTCTCGGACTGCTCTTCCATGCCCTCCCCAAAAATGAACCCTTTGCCGTTCCGGTGATTTTTCCGTGCACAATGGAGTACCCGGTGTCCTCCGATGAACTTTCTCTAGCTTGTGCCGTGATTACTGTAAGTTTCGGTTCTATTTCTACAAATATTTCCGTGTCCTGCATCCCACTTTTCCAATCAAATTCTGTCATATATATATATATATATATATATATATCGTATTTCATGTGTTTTCTAAATGTATACCAGATATAAAGATTTCCCACTTCCAAAAATGAAATCAACGGTGCCTCGAATATAGCAATCCTTGAAGAAGTGGTTCCCCCTGTCATCGCACACTGTATCCTGAAAACCGAATATGTTGCAGCCATAAAATGCCGATCTGTCACCGGATACTCTCAAGGTGTTGACGAAAACGGGTAAAGAAAACGAAAGAACACGAGAATTTTACGAGGTTCGGCAATGTGCTTACGTCCTCGGTGCCTAGGCGGCGCTAGAATTTTATTCAATGATCTTTTTAGGTCTAGGTTACATTTCTATTTATAATAGAAAACCCTGGTACATAATTACAAAATCAACCCTGTACCGTACCGCGGGGGCTGCGCCCCCACACCCCCAACGCACATAATTCGTAACCCCACAACGAGACTTTTTATGAGCCATACATAACAAATCTCCACCTTGGCGAATATCCTGCCCCTTGGAAACTTCAATGTGGGTTGGGTTACCTTGCTTCTTTAACAACTCGAAACATTCAACAAGTCCAAGCAATGCTTGAACTTGTCTGTCGTAACTGGCTTGGTGAACATATCAGCGGCATTCTCATCAGTATGTACCTTCTGAAACAAAACCTCTCCAGATGCAACCAACTCTCTGATCTTGTGGAACCTTACATCAATATGTTTAGTTCTAGCACGATACACCTGATTCTTAGCCAAGTGAATAGCACTTTGATTATCACAAAGCAACTGAACTCCACCTTGTTGAACACCCAACTCATTCACTAAACCAGTAAGCCATAAAGCTTCTTTTGCAGCTTCAGCCGCTGCCATGTATTCAGCTTCAGTTGTAGATAGTGCCACGACAGATTGAACAGTAGACTTCCAGCAAATAGGCCCTCCACCAAGAGTAAACACATACCCTGTCGTAGATCTTCTATTATCCAAGTCACCTGCATAATCTGAATCCACATATCCTACAACCAAAGGATTATCCCGCTGACTCCCAAAAACAATTCCATGTCCCACAGTACCCTTTAAGTACCGAAAGATCCACTTGACTGCATCCCAATGTTGCTTACCAGGTTTAGACATGTACTTACAAACTTGACTAACAGCATGAGCTAAATCAGGACGAGTACATACCATCGCATACATCAAGCAGCCAACAGCATTAGAATACGGAACCTTTGCCATATTTTCAGCTTCCTTATCTGTCTTAGGGCACTGTTCTGATGAGAGCTTAAAGTGATTCGCCAATGGAGTGCTTACTGGTTTTGCGCTGCTCATCGCAAACCTTTCTAGCATTTTCTCAACATAACCCCGTTGAGATAGCCGCAGTTTCCTTGAGTCTCTGTCCCTGCAAATTTCCATTCCAAGAATTTTCTTTGCAGCACCTAAATCTTTCATATCAAATTCTTGACTCAATAAAGTTTTCAAACCGATAACATCATCCATGTTCTTCGCAGCAATCAACATATCATCAACATACAGTAATAGAAAAATAAAAGAACCATCATCAAGGCTCTTAACATAGACACAACAATCATACTCACATCGGTTGTAGCCAATCTTGATCATATAGGAGTCAAACCGTTTATACCACTGTCTCGGAGACTGTTTTAACCCGTACAAAGATTTCTTCAATCTGCAAACTAAATGTTCGTTTCCAGGTTGAGTGAAACCTTCAGGTTGCCGCATGTAGATCTGCTCCTCTAAATCACCATGCAAAAAAGCAGTTTTAACATCCATCTGCTCTAAATGCAAATCCCAACTAGCCACCAATGCAAGTACTGCTCGGATTGAAGTGTGCCTGACCACAGGAGAAAAGATTTCATCATAATCAACTCCTTTTTGCTGTGAAAAAACCCTTCGCTACCAAACGAGCCTTGAACTTCTCCCCCTCTTTTTCTGTTACTATTGGTTTCTTCTTATACACCCATTTGCAACCAATCGGCTTCTTACCCTCAGGAAGGGGAACTAACTCCCATGTGCGATTGTGATTCAAAGACTCCATCTGCTCAACCATGGCTGCCATCCACTTGTCGTTTTCCTGACTAGTAACGGCATCATGAAAAGTAACTGGATCATCACTGCTAACAGTAAGTGCAAAAGATACCAAGTCTTCAAAACCCAATCTGTTCGGAGGCTTTATATTCGTCCGTCTCACCCTGTCTCTGGCGAGACTATAATCCTGCAAATCATCCGTAGTGGAACCACCAGAAGTCGGTTGAGAAGTTTCTGGTTTCTCAACTGGAAACTGCTCGAAATCTACCACTGTCGTGTCTTGCTTCTGCTGCAACATAGACTGTTCATCAAAAACGACATCTCTACTAATCACAACTTTCTTCGCAACTGGATCCCAGAACTTGAATCCTTTGACACCTTTCTTGTAACCCAGAAAAATGCACTCCTTCGATTTTGCATCAAGTTTGGATCTCTCATCAGCAGGTACATGCACATAAGCAGGACAACCAAAAATCCGTAAGTTATCAAAACTAACATCATGACCAGTCCATACCTCTTCTGCAACTTTCCCAGCCAGCGATGCCCTTGGCGATCTGTTGATAAGGTAACACGCCATGTTAACAGCCTCAGCCCAGAAGTGTTTGGGAAGCCCCGCATTCAACCGCAAACATCTGTCTCTTTCATTCAACGACCTGTTCATTCGTTCCGCAACACCATTCTGTTGTGGTGTCTTGCGCACTGTAAAATGCCTCTGAATCCCATGCTCCTTATAGAATTGTAGGAACTGTGAATCTGTGTACTCCGTACCATTGTCAGACCGCAAACACTTGATTTTTCGTCCTGTTTGGTTTTCTACCTCAGCTTTCCACAGCTTGAACTTCTCAAAAACTTCAGATTTCTGTTTCAAAAAATACACCCAAACTTTCCGTGAAAAATCATCAATAAAAGTAACATAGTACCTAGATCCACCCAAAGACGATGTCGTGGAAGGCCCCCATACATCAGAATGCACATAATCAAGAATCCCTTGAGTTGTGTGCTTCGCAGTCTTGAAACGGACTTTAGTCTGTTTACCAAGAACACAATACTTGCAAAAATCGAGCTTACAGCTTTTGACACCATACAACAAGTTTCTCTTGTGTAATTCTGCCATACCACGTTCACTAAGATGAGCAAGGCGCATATGCCACAATTTTGTCGTATCATCACAGGACTCAACAGAGTGAACTCCACCTGCAACGGTACTCCCTAACAATCTGTAGATATTCCCTGCAGTCATCTTGCCTTTCATCACAGTCAATGCTCCTTTAACAATCCGAATGGTTTCCCTATCCTCGTCAGCCTTAGGGATAAAACCATTCTTGTGCAAAGTGCCCAAGGAAATCAAATTCTTCTTCAACTCTGGGATATGTCGAACACCACTCAACGTCCGAACGGAGCCATCGTGCATCTTAATTCTGACATCACCAATACCAACAATATTGCAACATCGATCATCACCCAAATAAACCGAACCAGAATTAACCGGCCTGTATGTCGAAAACCATTCCCTATTTGGCGTGATGTGATAAGAACATCCAGAATCAAGAATCCAAGCATCCGTCAATTGTGTCGTTGAAATAGAAAGCATATCACCCTCACTACAATCAGAAGTATCATCCTCGACCACGTTCACAGACTTGGATGAGCCATCACGCTTCTCATCGGTCTGCTTTTTCAACTTCGGACAGTCTCGCTTCATATGTCCCGCCTCCTTGCACTTGTAACAGTGAATCGTCTTCTTATCCCTGGATTTGGATCTGGAATTTCGCTTCCCGGACCCTGCCTTCTCTGGCTTCCGTCCACGATCTCGATTACCCTTGACATATAAGCTATCGGCTTGAGAGCTTTCCCCTGCATTCTGCTTCCGCTGGTTGTGAGCCAACAAGGCTGCAGTAATCTCCTCAACATTGATAGTCTATTTCCCATATGTAAGAGTAGTCACCATGTGTTCGTAAGAGGAAGGCAACGAACACAACAGAATCATCGCTCTGTCTTCATCCTCAATTTTCACATCAAGCCGAGCCAGATCAGAAACGATTTGATTGAAGACATTCACGTGTTGCGCCAAATCGTGATCGTCCTGCATCTTCAGCCCATACAGCCGCTGCTTCAGATACAGTTTTGTCGTTAAGGATTTGGACATAAACTGACTTTCCAACTTCCTCCAAATTTCGTCTGGAGACGATAGATGCATGACGTGATACATGACCTCGTCCGCCAAGCATAATCG